TGTTTCCTCTCCACCTATCCTCTCCTTTATCCATCTTCTATCCGCCTCCCACTCTCTCCCTATTTATTTCAGAACCCCCTTTTCTGATGAAGGGTCTAGGCCCGAAACGTCACCCTCTCTGCTCCTATGATGCTGCTTGGCCTGCTGTGTTCATCCAGCCCTGCACCTTGTTGTCTCGGATTCTCCAGCATCTGCAGTTCCTACTATCTCTGATTCAATCACTGGTTCTGGCTTGCTGCAGTGTTCCAGCAAAGCTCGGTGCAAGCTGGAAGAACAATACCTCATTTTCCGCTTGGGGACCCTGCAGTTCTCCGAACTCTATATAGAGTTCAATAATTTTCAGGCCTAAACTCTACCATGCCCTAGTTCCCTACCCTAGAGACTAGGCCTCATTATCACAGCCTGCCATTACACACTACCTATTGTTAGTCACTAACAGTCCCTACTAACAACTATTCACCCTCCTAGCCAGATCATTATCAACTCTTTGTCTATTCAACTGCTCTGTCTCTCCGGGCTCTATCCTATCATTTATTCCCGACCGTGTACCCCTCCCTTTTTTTTTCTGCATATAAACTGATGTTTTCCCAGCTACCATTACTTCTTTACAGATGCTGCCAGACCTGCTGAGCTTTTCCAGCAACTTCTGTTTTTGATCTGATTTATAGCATCTGCAGATCTTTCGGTTCCCACTTGCCTGTGTTTGGCCCATATCCGTCTAAACTCTTTCTTTCCATTTACCTGTCCAAATGTCTTTTTAAATGTTGTAATTGTACCTGCCACTACCATGTCCTTTGGCAGCTCCTTCCGTATATGCAGCACCCTCTGTGGAAAAAGTTGCCCCTCTCACCTTATACCTAGCCCTCTAGTTTTGGACTCCCCTACCCTGGGGAAAAGACCTTGGCTAGTCACCTTATTTATGCCCATCATGCTTTTATAAACCTCTATAAGGTCATCCCTCAGCCTCCCACGCTCCAGGAAAAAATGTTCCAGCCTATCCAACCCCTCCTTATGAATCAAATCTTCCAGTCTCCGTAACATCTTTAACTTTCTTTTGCACCCTTTCTAGTTTAATAATACCCTTCCTATAATAGGGCAACCAGAGTTGTATGCAGTACTCCAAACGAGGCCTTGCCAATATCTTGTACAGCTGTGACATGATGTCCCAACTCCTATATTCATGCTTTGACCGATGAAGGCAAATATGCCAAACCCACCCTGTCTACCTGTGATGCCATTTACAAGGAACTATGTGCCTAGTTACCTCTTTGACAACACTCCCCAGGGCTCTGTACTGCACTGGTTTGTCTTAGCAAACTGCAACGCTTCACATTTATCTGAATTTAAACTCCATCTGCCATTCCTTGGCTCATTGGCCAGTTGATCAAGATTGCATTGTACACTAAGATAACATTCTTCACTGTCCACTGTACCACCACCATTGGTGTCATCGCAAATTTATTAACCAGTACCTCCTATATTCTTACCTGAATTGTTTATTTTAATGATGAACAATAGTGGACATAGCACCGATCCTACAGCACACCGCTGGTCATGGGTCTCCAGTCTGACAAACGACCCTCTGTCACTACCCTCTGTCTCCTACCATCAAGCCATTTTGTATACAATTGGCTAATAAAGTTGCAAAAATACATTAGGATGGGCTTAATATGGTGATTGGTAGAATGGTATTTTCCCTAACTACTTTTACTGTGGTCAGATGCAACCTAAGCAAGTTTGTATCCATTGGAGACAGCTTTGAGGATGGGATGCTGTGGGTAGGGCCATATAAATGGCAACAGTAGGGTCTTTAATAGTAGTTAAAGTGTAACAAACGAATACAAGACTGTAAAAACCATGGAAAAGGCTGTACTGCATTCAGAGAGCTTTTGTACCATAATTTTCATGCTGAGCCAGGCAAAGTTGCTATCTAAATCAAGTGTTGGACATAGAAGCAGCTGTGTTTAACCCAGATGGTTAAAAGAAAAGGAGATTTAAAATCAGTCATGTAGTTAATGGAGAGGATGCCATTTAAATGCCTCAGTGTCAGAGAAGATGTTGCATTAACTGATTAAAAATGCTGTGTTTGAAATAAGAGAACAGAAAATATTCATGCATGCCAGCTGGTATGCTAAATTTTGGTTTAAAAAAACATTTTTAGTATCGGCACTTTTGAGAATTATGGATTTGTGGATAAAATTGAAGATTACTTTATGAAAGCATCATCAAGAAAGATGAGTTTTATTTCTGGAAGCTTGTTAATTTTATGGTCCACCACTGTTTCATTACTCTGATTACATTTTACATTACCTTTGATTAAAACAGACTTTCCTGGTAACACATTTTCCCGCTGTTTTTCTTGTAGGTTTCAGCACTAAGCAGTCAGAAGTTGTGGTAGCTGCACTAATGAGAGTCATGAACTCCAGTATGGAAATTATGTATAAGGATATGGCAACCAAAATTCAACAAGTAAGAAACCCCAGTGAATCAAAAAGCAAAATACTGCAGCTAATGGAGATGAAGCAAATTCAAAAAATATTGCAGTGACTCAGCAGGTCAGTCAGCATCTGACAGGAATATACAGTGAGTACAATTGACTGCCTCGTATCTTCCTGGTGGATGTTGTCTGACTAGCTCCGGGTCTCCAGGGTTTTCTGTTTATTGTTTTTGCCCATCATATAGTGTGTAAAGAGATTTTCTTAATTGATGGATGAAAGCTGAAATGTGATATTATGCTTTGCAAGCAGCAAAAGATACTGCAACATTTTACAGGTTTGCAATTTAATCAGTGGACTTGCAATACCTCAGAGTATAATGACGATATTCTGTTAGTCAAACTTGATGCTGAATTTACGTTCTTTTTATAATGTTTTTAAAAATATACTGGATATGTTACTTTAATCACTAAATTTTTAGTCCTAACATTCGTATCTACGAAATGTATGCGCCTCCAAACTTAAAGTTGTGGAAATTTCATGTTTTAATATTCTTGAATGTATTTTTTTAAGTATGAGGTAGAAAGGAAAATCTCATAGTTCCAGAGGACCACCCACTGTTCTCTGATTTGAAGGGAAATGACTAACGTTGAGGTTAGTGTGAGGGTCACCATGTCTCGGGTATGTTGTGGCATGAAAGGGTGGGGCCTTCATGGTGACCTGAGTTGGTACTGGAATTGAACCTACATTGTTGGCATTACTCTGCAGCACAAACTAGCTATGCAACCAACTGAGCAAATTACCACTTTTTTTTTGAAAGCTCCTTGCAGACCATTATTAACACTGAATTGAGTTGGTTATTTTTTAAACTACAGTGCTTTTGTGTCGCAGACTTGTGTCTGAAATTTTTCAGAACGTTTATAAACTGACAATGAAGTTAGCATAAGCCAGTCTGGCTTTTGGGTATCTTGGCAACTGTTACATTATTTTCTGTGGTGATTTCCAAACATAGTTAAGAACAGTGTTAAGAACGTGTATGTTGTTCGTTGCTGCGAGGCTTAATTTGAGCTTTAATGTTCTTGTAGAAACAACCAGAGTATATCATGTTGCGCTTACCACAGTGTTTAGCTCGTATATCCTGCAAAGGACTGAGTCGACTCTTGATAGTAATAGGAAATGATCTTTAGTGACAATAACACAGTTAATACTATAATAACGATTGTGCTATAAACTAACAATTAACACAATAAATCTGACAATACTAAGTCCATATATTGTATTTTGACTTAACTCGAAATGATCAAACATCACACTACACCTTGGCCTTGATCCACATGGTGATGGTTGCTTGGACTTATACTCACGGTAATCCCAGGGGTGCCTCTTCTTACAATGGTTGGAGTCGGCTTACCGGTCCCGAGGGTGCTGCTGTGACAATTTTTATCCTTGGAAGCTTCCACACCCCTTTTAGGAGGTTGTTCTATTCCCACCAATGAATCGATCAGGAATTGAGCCCCCGATTGGGTCCAGTCAATCAGGCGGTCCCATGCGGATGGTGGGGTGGTCTTTGGTCCTCCATTTCTGAAAGTGTCAGGGGCGTGTAAGTCAGGTAGGTCTCTCAGATTAGAGTGTGAGATGTCCCCTTGTTCTGGAACAGCTTGATGTTTCCTATTGTCCTGGTAAATGGGCTTAGTCAATTGTGTATTGTGCTGTCTGTAGCTGCAGCTTGCCTGTCTGGGTGTGTAGTTTCTTTATTTCAGTGTCTTTTATCTGGATATTTTGGCTAATGCTTGGCTGAATTTCCCAGCATGCTTTATCCAATTCTGCAATTTTGAGTGGCCCGTCCAGCTACAATAATAATTTGAATTACAATACAAACGTGCCTTTCATAGCATCGCATCTGCTGCTGTTAGCTCTGTTTACTGTAAATCTCAATTCCTTCTGTTTTGTCTTGACCAATCAAAGTTGAGTTCCTTTTTTTAAATTTTAAAGGCTTGAAGTAACTGTTCCCTGGTGCATTCTCCATGGCAATGGCTCAATCATCAGAGTCCACTTGCCAATCAATCACCACTCTACATTTCTCACACAGGATTGATTGCTGTTCCCTTTGAAATTTGGTATTTTTTTGTTTTGTCTTGAGTCCAAGACCGTGTTTCAATATTATGCCTTTGTATTTCAACAATAAATGAATAACTATGTTCCTATAACAGTTACTGTTAATATACAATGTCACATAATGAAAACACAAACATTTTACCCACACTCCACCTGCTGATTGTAGTTCCAGATATTTATAGTATAATCTAATAGTTTCACCTGCTGTTGAATAAACTTATATTTTCCCTTCCTTGCTTTCTTTGACTGAATTGACATGTTTAACCAGTGGTCCTTGCAGTACAAGTCTGTAATACAAGTGTCTGAAAGGCGAATTAGCCCTTAGTTTGCTACTTGTGTTTTGATAGACAAATTTCTCCTGTTATGCTGGAGAGAAAACCTACTTAAATCATAATGAAGTGATTTTCTTTCTTTAGCAATTCCTATTTTAAAGTGCTCAGCAACTGTCAGCATGCTTACTGTCAGTAGTTAGTGGGGAGGTGATGGCCTAATGGTATTATTCACTGGACTGTTAATCCAGATAATGTTCTGGTGACCTGGGTTTGAATCCTGCCATGGCAGATGGTGGAATGTGATTTCAATAAATATCTGGAATTAAGAGTCTAATGATGACTGAATTCATTGCTGATTGTCAGGAAAAACCCATCTGGTTCACTAAAGTCCTTTAGGAAAGGAAACTGCCATCCTTACCTGGTCTGGTGAAAATGTGACTCCAGACCCACAGCAATGTGGTGAACTCTTAACTGCCCTCTGGGCAATAGATGCTGCCTAGCCAGCGATGCCCTCATCCTGTGAATAAATAAAGAAGGAAAAAAAAATGCCAACTGCATATGTTGTCCTTTAAATCTGTTCATCTGCATTTTGTAAGCTTTGGTCACTTGATTTTAAACAACAAAACTTGGTCAGTTTTCAGATATTGACAAGAAACTGAAATGATATCAGGAAGCTGAAACATCCACCAAATTTTGGTATTGGTATGATGGAGTAGTTGTTGAACAGTTAACTGTATTTTAGTTGTCCTAAAAAAGTGAAGCCATCCCTCCAAAAATAGTGAATTATGCACCTATAAAGGAGTTATTTTGTTCGAGTGAAAATAATTACCTGGTGGAGTCATAGGATCATTCAGCATGGAAACAGGCCCTCTGGTTCAACCAGCCTATGCTGACCATAATCCCAAACTAAACTAAACTAATCCCTCCAGCCTGCACTTGGCACATATCCCTCCAAACATTTCTTCTTCTCGTACTTATCTAAATGTTGTAACTGTACCCACATCCTCGAAGTTCATTCCACACATGAACCACACTCTGTAAAAGAATTGTACCTCCTGTCTTTTTTTTTTAAATCTTCCTCTTCCCATCTTAATATACTCCCTAGTCTTGAAATCCCACACCCTACCCCTTGTTACTTTGTGAACCTCTCTAAGGTCAGCTCTCAACCTTTTGCACTCCAGTGAAAAAGTCCCAGCCTATGCAGCCTTTCCTTGTAACTCGAGCCATTCGCTCCCAGCAACATCCTGGTAAATCTATTCTGAACCCTTTCCAGCTTGTTAATATCCTTCTTATAACAGGGAGACCAGAACTGGATACAGTACTCCAGAAAAGGCCTCACTGATGTCCTGTACAACTTCAACATAGCACCCCAACTCCTATACTTAAAGGTCTGAACAATGAAGGTGAGCTTGCTTAATGCCTTCTTAGCCACCCTATCTATATATGTTGCAAACCTCAAAGAATTATGTACCTGAACTCCTAGGTCTCTGTTCTACAATACTGCCTAAGGCCCTGCTGTTAATTGTGTAAGTCTTGTCTTTGTTTGTTTTTACCAAAATGCAATACCTCACATTTATCCAAATTAAACTCCCCTTGCCACTGTTCAGCCTGCTGACCCAATTGATCAAGATCTCTTTGTAATCTTAGATAAACTCCTTCACTGTACACTACACCACAAATCTGTCATCTGCAAATTTACTAACCATGCTTTCTGTATTCTCATCTAAGGCTCCAAATAATTTGTGCAAAAATACCTTGTGCATTTTATTTTTATTTCAAGTTAATAGATAATTCAAAATGTTAACTTTGCAATTCATGGTGATTTTTTTTTTTAAAAATGCTTATCAAACCCTCTTCAGTCACTATCAGAGAATTGAGTATGGCAGTCTTTTAAAACCTATTCTATTTTGTTAATGCTACAATGTTAAATAAATCTGTCACTCTCATCAGAATATTTTCTTTACACCTGCTGTTGGTAGTGGAATACTGCTGTCTCTTATAATAAATTATTCTATAATACATTTTAACTGCAGGAGGTAATGCTTCAGCAGATTATGTCACATATAACTGCTGTGAAAAAGGATATGATCATATTGGAGAAGAGTGAGTTTTCAGCAATACGAGCTGCAAATGAGGTGAGTTTTTGGTAAATTGAAGCTGCGTGTTAAGTAGATAAGGTTTAGATCACTGCTGTTTTGGCAAGTGAAAGCAAGAATCATGATGAAACTTCCTCTTCTTTTGAACCTATTCCCATTAACCTGCTGATCTCCCACCTTCCCCCTTCTAACCCTAAAGTTAACCACTATTGCAAACTTTTTTTCTAATGATCTGCTTTAAAAATGACATCAGGATTGAGTTAAAGAAGCAAGTTTGTTTTCACTCCTAGGACGAGTTCAGTCGAAAAAGTCACCTCAGCAGAGGAGTTTAGTTTGGGATACTTCCAAACCGGGAGAGTTTGGTTCGAAATCTTCAGGTTATTTAGCAGACTTAGAAGGGACTCATCAAATTGTCTCCACAGTCCACAGCAACAAAACTGTAAAGAGTCAGTTAATTGGAAACTTGGAGTTGAGATAAGAGAAATTACAATCATGACTTGCATATCTGTAGTGGATAATGTTGGAAAACCAGATGAAACTTTGTTTTTCTTTTATTTTAAGATCATTATAACTGCCTTAAACACCTTAAATGTTTTTTTCTTTTGTGTAATTACCTTCTTTCTGTCATTAAAATCTGCAGCCTTGTGAGCATGTTTCAGTAACTATCATATTAACTATGCAGAATAAAACTTATGATCTATCAAGTCAGATTTCATTTTGGATCTGATTTGTCCAATAGTACCATCAACTGGTATCATAACCTTGTCACCACCAAATTGCTTGTCTTCTCTGCATCCGCACAGTTGCTTCTGGTTTCAGCTAAAGGTCTATCGATGGCCTGTCCAATTTTTTTTTATCTACGTGCTGCCCTGAGGCCACAGTATTTAAAGGCACAGTGCTGTTTTTATATGTATGCTAATGATATCCAGTACTGGATGTCCAGAAATGTTGACCAATTAAATGTTACAATGACTGGAGCCATTGTTTAGGTCCATGCTCCAAACTTAATTCCCTAGTTACTAGTTATATCCCTTTTCTTGGAAATTGTCTGAAATCAACCCAAACTCTTTGCATCCTCACTGTCACGTTTGATCTTGAAGTGAATATCCAACCTTATTCTTGCAGTCACCAAGACTGCCTGCTTCCATCCTGTGGTACCACCCAACTTTGCCCGTTCCCAATTTGTCTGTTGCTGAAACCCTCAATCATTCCTTCCCAAACTCTAGACTTGACTATTAAAATTCATTCCTGACTGGTCTCCTCCATTGCTTCATGTCTGTGGAGAATACAGTCAAAAATTCTGCTGTCCATGTGTTGACTTGTCAGTTCCTTTTATCACCCCTATATTTAGTGACTTACAATAGCCCTTGACAACAATGTGTTAGGGTGACCCATGGTTCTTAGTTAACATAAAATGGCTGAAATCAATTCTCGGTTAACATAAAATGGCTGATGGAGATTTTTGGCTAAATCAGCAGTGTACACAATGTTATTGTGAAGTTAAACTGTAACGTAGAATAATTCCAAGCTTCATGGAAGTAACATACCCAAGGTAACCAGGTTAGATCTATTGGGTCTTGTAAAGGCATACAATAGGCTCCTGTTAAGTAAGAAACAAAAATACAGTCAATGCTTACGTGGTTTGATAAGAACATGCTTGTGAAATAGTGGTAGAAGACATTCTTGAAAGCTAGTTAAAAGTTTGCTATCTAATAAGGGATAGAAGGGGAGAAGCCTGACCCACATTAGTTAAGACCCTTTTGGTGGTTGTAACCATATATTGTGCACACATACTCTTAAAATTCTATTTTATATATAACCAACATTGAGGGATTTAACTGAATTCCTGTGGACAGTCGGTTTTGGACAGTCAGAAAAGACCCTTTTCTATTAGCAGGTGGGTACTGAATAACTGGTGCATGAATTAAGGGTGAAATGTATAAATTTATTTTTTAAAATCTCTTATTCAGAAGAGAATTATTCCAAGGTAACTTGTAATTGAGCTGATGTTATACAATGTGAGCAATTCTAATTATGATTTGCTCCTATAATGAGTGGCAAAATTAATGCAAGCTGTTCTTGTCAGCTGATCTAAAGGGGAATGAAAGCATGCATACTACATTTATTCTTGAATTCATTTGGGGCACAGGGAAAATCTATTTTTATGATTATTTCTATGGTTAAGACTGTAACTGTTCCAATACTTGGCCACTTTGCTTGTACAGGAAGGTTAGCCTCTTGGATGAGGCATTGATACTGATTGATGTCATGAACCTGATCTTGGCAGTAGTTAGTGGTGTCAAAATTGTGCAATTGAAAGGTTGACTGACTAGGTTAATAATGTAAAGATAACTTTTTTTATTGTGCACGTGCCAACTCCTCCAAATTTCACTAACATTATTTGATATCTGGAGATAAATAACTTATAGCACTGAGTGAGAATGATATTTAGGAATAATATAAATTAATATTTCTATCTGCTGTTCCTGACCCCTCTGCATGTTTTGAAAATACTGATTTTGTGATGTTCATTTTCAGAAACTGAAAATTGAATTGCAACAGCTCAAAAAACAGTTAGTCGTAAGTTCATTTTCTAAAGTTTCTTGACAAAATTCTTGACTGGATAGGTTGAAAGCTGTAAAAGTGTTTGCTTAAAGAAATTGAGTGATCATTTTAAATATATTCTGTGCAAAACTATATTCTCGGCATATTCTGGAAACCAATATTTTGAGAAATTCTGACACCGATGATAAAGTGCTATGCAAATGCAGAATATCTCTACAGTTCTCTCTCTCCCTCACTCCCTGTCTAGCTAGTTTGATAATGCTCAAACCCACTGAATGATCCACTGTGGGATTTTAGGTGTAATAACACAGACAGAATAGAACAAGCATGTATTTTGAACATCCACAATACATTTGCTTAGTTGGGAAAGTTAGTGTTTTCAAAGTCGCAAATCATGTGCTGTATTAACTCCTTTCTTAGTGGATATGTGGTCATTTAAAATTAATTATGTGTAAAAGAACGTTTAAGGATTAGTGACCATAATATGAGAGAATTTTATATGGGGCGGCACGGTGGCTCAGTGGTTAGTGCTGCAGCCTCACAGCAGCAGGGACCCGGGTTCAATTCCGCCCTCGGGCGACTGCCTGTGTGGATTTTGCACGTTCTCTCCATGTCTGCGTGGGTTTCCTTCAGGTGCTCCGGTTTCCTCCCACAGTCCAAAGATGTGCAGGTTAGGTAGATTGGCCGTGTTAAATTGACCATAGTGTCCAGGGATGTGTAGATTAGGTGGGTTATAGGGGGATGGGTCTGGGTGGGATGCTCTGAGGTTCAGTGTGGACTTGTTGGGTCAAAGGGCCTGTTTCCACACAGTAGGGTTCTGTGATTCTTTCTATGTTTGAGAGTGAATTCTTTCACTTTCAGAAGCAAAGGTGTTGGATTTGGTTAAGAAATTGTGTATGAGGCACAAGTTAGCTGAGCTGGATTGGGAATATACATCAAAAGGTGTGACTGTACATAAACAATGGACATTCTTTAAAGAACAATTACACAGTTGACAGCAACTATACATTCCTTCAAGGTGCAAAATACCTCAAAAGATCAGTCAGTTGTGGCTGACAAAGGAAGTTAAGGATTGTTTAATCTTAACAGAAAAGACTTGTAATGTGGCCAGGAATAGTAATAAATTTGAGGCTTCAGAAGTTTAGAATACAACACAGGAAGACCAAGAATAGAATATGAATGTAATCTAGCAAAATAGGGAAACTGGACTACAAATACTGCTGCAGATAATGAAAAGGAACGGTTTAGCTCAGACAAATGTAGGTCCATTAAAAGTGGAGTTAGCAGCATTTATAATCTGCAATTGAAAAAAGACAGAAGTCAATTGATTCTTTGTTTGCGTTCAGGTGCCAGAAATCTCCCAAAATAAGGAACTTGGGTGACTAGGGAAAAGGAGCAGTTGAAGGAAATTAATATAGGTGAGAAGATTCTACTAGAGAAATTTTAATGGGGTTGAACGTCAAGTCCCAAAAACTTGATGGTCTGCATCCCAGTGTTGAAGAAGGTGGATACACAGATAGTTGCACTATGATTATTCTCAAACTCTACAGATTCTGGAATGATTTCTGCGGATTGGAAGCTTACAAATGTCACTTCACTATTTAAGAGAAGAATAAGGGGAAGTATAATAGGAACTGCAGACTAGTCAGCCTTTAAATTAGTAGTAGCTTCTAGCATTTTTCCTACCGTAAAGGAAGTGATAAACAGACAGTTATGGAGGGAGGGAAATTATATAACTGGCTATAATCACCATGGAATTACAAATGGAGAATTATGAGCATGTTACTGAAGAAGTTGGTAAAGAAAAATTGATAGATCTAGTACATTTGGATTTGTAGAAGATTTTTGATAAAAAAAAATTAAAGCACAGTACATAAGGCAATGTATTGGCATGAATTAAGGATTGGCTAATAGACTGAAACAGAGGAGGAATAATTGAGTCATTATTGCATTGGCGGGCTGTGACTAGTGGGATTAGTACTTGGGGCCCCAGCTGTTTTCAATACTCATCAATGATTTGAAGGTGGAGACCAAATTTAATATTTCCAGATTTGTACCTGACAGAAAGCTAAGCAGGCACTTGTATTGTGAAGACGGCATAAAACATTTTCAGGAGGATTTCGACAGGCTTTGTAATTGAGCAGGAACATGGTAGACAGAATTTAATTTGGAAAAATAAAAGGTTGTTCACTTTTGGTAGGAAGAATAGATTTGCAGAGTCCTTGTAGTGGGATGTTGGAAAGTGTAGATGTGCAAAGTGACTCAGTTGTCCTTGTCAGTAAGTCACTGAAAGCCAACATGTAGGTGCAGTAAGCTATTTAAGAAGCTAAATGGAATCTTGGCCTTTGCTGCGAGAGGATTTGAGTACTGGAGTTGTGAAGTCTTGCTCCAATAGATAGGAGTTTGGTTAGACTGCACTTGGAGTACATTGTGTAGTTTTGGTCTCATCAATTCAATGAAAGATATTGCAGTAGAAGGAGTGAAACAAAGGTTCACCAGACTTGTTCCTTGGATGACCCAACTGTCCCATGAAGAGATTGGGCAAACTTTCAAAGAATGAGAGGTGATCTCATTGAAACTTGTGAAATATTTAAAGGAATAGGCAGGGCAGCTACAGGCAGAATAATCCCCCAGTTGGGGAGTCCAGAACCAGGACCACAGTTTAAAAATATGAAGGATGCCATTCGGTTCCGAGATGAGGAGATATTGGCTGTTTGGTAATTTTATCCAAAGTAATAATCAAAATGTTTTAAGGCTTTCATGGTGCTGCAGTACACAGCCAAGAGCACCATGAAGACCAAAAGCTCGAAGCATTTCTCATGTTTTTTTAACGTCTTGAAAGCTGTTCAGCACATTCACACTTTTGCTTACTTACTTGGAATGATGTAGAACATAGAACAGTACAGCACAGTACAGGCCCTTCAGCCCACGATGTTGTGCCGAACTTTCACCCTAAACCTAAGGTCTATCTAACCTCCACCCGTACCTTATACTAGCATCCATATGCCTATCTACTAGTCGTTTAAATGACCCTAATGAGGCCGACTCCATTACCCTCTCCGGCAATGCATTCCACACCCTGAGTAAAGAATGTACCTCTGACGTCTCCCCTCTGTCTATCTCCACTCACTTTAAAACTATGCTACCTCCACCCTAGGGAAATGTCTCTGGCTGTCTATCTATACCTCTGATCATTTTGTACACCTCTATCAAGTCACCTCTCATCCTTCATCATTCTGAAGAGAAAAGCCCCAGCTCTCTCAACCTTTCCTCGTAAGGCCTTCCCTCCATTCCAGGCAACATCCTGGTAAATCTCCTCTGCACCTTTTCCAATACCTCCAATTCTTTCCTGTAATGAGGCGACCAGAACTGGACACAATACTCCAGATGTGGCCGAACCAGGCTTTTGTATAGCTGGAGCGTAACTTCATGGCTCTTGAATTCAATCCCTCTATTAATGAAAGCTAACACAACATACGCCTTCTTAACAACTCTAGCCACCTGGGTGGCAGCTTTCAGGGAACTGTGGACATGAGCCCCAAGATCACTCTGCTCTTCCACACTGCCAAGAATCTTTCCGTTAACCCTGCATTCTGCTTTCAAATTTGTCCTTCCAAAATGAATCCCCTCACACTTTTCAGGGTTAAACTCCATCTGCCACTTCTCAGCCCAGCCCTGCATCCTATCAATGTCCCTTTTGTAACCTAGAACAGCCCTCTGCACTATCCACAACTTGACCCACCTTCATATTGTCCATGAACTTACTAATCCACCCTTCCACTGTTACATCCAAATCACTTACAAAAATCACAAGTAGAAGAGGACCCAGAACACATCCTTGTAGTACACCACTCATAACTGAGCACCATGTTGAATATTTTCCGTCCACTACCACCCTTTGTCTTCTAAGGGTCAGCCAATTCTGAATCTGCCATGTTTCCCCCTATCCCATGCCTCCTTACTTTCTTCATGAGCCTACCATGGGGAACCTTATCAAATCCTTGCGTAAATCCATGTATACCACATCCACTGCTCTACCTTCATCCACATGTTTGGTCACCTCTTCAAAGAATTCAATAAGGTTTGCGAGGCATGATCTATCCCTCAAATCCATGCTGACTATCACGAATCAAACCGTGCTTATCCAAGTGATCATAAATCCTATTTCTCAGAGCCCTTTCCACATACTAACATCCATCTCCAGCCTACCAGCCTGTTTCACACCTTCCTCCCCTACAACTAGGTCCCTCTCAGTTGTGAATACCGAAGAAAAGTATTCATTAAGAACCTCTCCTATCTCTTTAGGCTCTGTGCACAAATTTCCTTTATGATCCTTGATCGGCCCTACCCTTTGGTCATTCTCTTATTCTTCATGTACGTGTAAAAAGCCTTGGGGTTTTCCTTGATCCTATCTGCCAAGGTTTTCTCATGCCCCCTTCTAGCTCTCTTGAGCCCTTTCTTCAGCTCCATACTGGATAACTTGTATCCCTCTAGAGCCTTTTCCGATCCTTGTTTCCTAAACCTTATGTAAACATCCTTCTTCTTCTTAACTAGTCGTTCAACCTCTCTCGAGAACCAAGGCTCCCTCACTTGACTGCATCTTCCCTGCCTGCTAGGGACAAACATATCGAGCACACGCAGTATGCATTCCTTAAACAATCTCCACATTTCAACAGTGCTCTTCCCTGACAGCATCTATTCCCATTTTGTTACCCAGTTGCCTAACAGCATTATAATTACTCCTCCCCCAATTATAAACCTTACCCTGCTGTATGTACCTATCCTTTTCCATGACTATTGTAAAAGTAACAATTATGATCGCTACTGCCAAAATGCTCTCCTACCAACAGGTCTAACACTTGGCCTGGTTGATTGCCAAGCACCAAATCCAAAGTGGCTTCTCTTTGTGTTGGTCTGTTTACATACTGTCAGGAATCCTTCCTGAACGCACTGGACAAAATCTGTTCCATCTAAACTATTACAACTAAAAGGTTTCCAATCAATATTTGGAAAGTTGAAGTCACCTGTGACTTCTGTGCCTTTCCAGTATCTGCCTCCCAATCTGCTCCTCCATATCTCTGCAACTATTAGGGGGTCTGTATTTTTTTAAAAAAAAAACCCACAGTGACTGCTCCTTTCTTCTTCCTGACCTCAACCCAAACTGACTCTGCAGACATATCATTCTCGAACTGCCTTTCAGTAGCTGCTCTACTAGCCTTGACTAGCAATGCCACTCCCCCACCTCTTTTACCACCCTCCCTATTTCTTTTAAAGCATCTAAATCCCAGAACTTCCAACAACCATTCCTGTCCCTGAGTTACCCAAGTTTCTGTAATGGCCACAACATCGTAGTTCCAAGTACTGACCTCAGGTGGTCTCCTTTCTTGGTTACGTTTTATTTGCAGGAGTAGAAAAGCAAAAGCTCACTGGTGCTGTAACACCACTGTTTGGGGACAATTCAATATTTCACTTAACATTGTGTAGTCACAGCTATTACTAGAGAAGCCATAGGAAAATTTGTGTACTTTCTAAAGTACTACTTAAACTGCCTTGAGTGATTTGCAGTTTATAATTCTGATCACTTTAAGCATATTGCTGTAATCTGCTTTGATACTGTTGTTAAATCTGGTGTATATATGACACCATGTGATTACTTAGTTTTCAGGGGAGTAATTTGTATGATGTGACTTATGGAACTTGTCTACCAAGGTTTGACATTAAACATGGGCGTTTACATGTGCACTTAATAAAAGTAAAGTTGCCAAAATCTTACCAGACCATGGGGCTGCTGTCTTTTTTTTTTGTGGTGGTTTAAACTAGGGGTCACCATGCCTCAGGCAAGGGGAGAGGTCGAGCAGGAATCTTTCATGGTAACCTCAGCTGGTGCGGAAATTGAACCATGCTGTTGTCAGCATCCAACCCGACAAGCTAACAACCTGTAATATCTCCAACACTAAACAGGTTTTTACCGTTTCTTCTGTAAATATAACTTTAACTGCTCAAAAACAAAAGTTTCCAAAAGAGGTTTTGAAATGGTATGCCATCTTCAAGGGTATTTTCAGGGCCCTGCAAGGTCATCCGATTTCTTTATTTGTTGATTTATCATGTATTCATCTACACCTATAAAAATAAATGTCTTCTGCAAGGATAGCTCTGACTTAAGAGCAACATTAAGCCATTCAGTCCCTCAAACCTATTCCACCGTCCCATTTGGCCATGATGAATGGGTGTCAAATTCATCTACTTACCTTGGTTATTTTGAATTAAGTCAGTATTAGGTGAGTCTAGACATGAAAAATTGAAAACCCATAGTTTAGTACAGCAGCAGTACTGAATGCCCTCCCTGGAGTTAAAGCATTTTCAGGGTGCACAAAAATTGTACTGCTTTTGATAATTTAGAAAAAGCTATCAGGAATTGTCAAAATGCTGTTGAATTTGAATCAGCTGTTTGTCTCAAACTTCAATTTCCTGATTCTAACACTATATTGTTTTGAAATGTTTCTTTTAGGATGAAGTTGTGAAGATATCATCAAACAACAAATTAGACATGAATTTGGAAAAAAGTAGAGTTCAAGAAATGGTAAGTGTTATTTGAAGCTGAATGCGTATTTTTTAAAGTTGAAGGCTGGTGATGTTGAATAGCATATATACAGGGTTGTTACCTTTTTCTAACTATTGAATGAAATGGAAGTTGGTTGCATTTGCAGATTGCTTACCTTGGAGGCAACTGATTGACGAAGTAGCTTGAAATCATTTTGTACGTTGCTGGAACGGTGGCAGATTTAGTGTGTGTTTTTTGTGTGTTCTGACAGTACAAGTCAAAAAGGAATCCTACTGAAGCTGTACATTGCTGTAGATATGCCACAATTTCTACACATTGAATTCAGCAAGCCCCAAAGCAACTTTAAGGAATTTGGATTGTTCCAAAGACTAGTCCCAACACTTATCCTTTGTGCTGGTTATGAGAAAAAGGAACAGAAATTTGAATTTTAAAACTTTATAAGAAAAAATTCATAAAATGATTATGAAAAAATGTACCTTGAGATAGTGAAGCAAGTGACACTGGTTGAATCAAGTAAAAGTCAAATTTAGAATAAATACATAACATTTTCTTCAAAAGTAATGATCAACAGTATGAACCAGATCTTCCTTCCAGCAGAGTGGAAGTGCATGCTGATGACTGCAGTTTTAACCATCCACTCGGCTTTTTAAGGTAGAGCTTTGGACCTTTTGTGTTGGCCCCAGTTTGGATGAGTGGCAAGCAGCATGTGAAGGCACAGTTTCAAATAAAACAGCTATAAAGCTACGTCCTTTGTCATGAACTGCAAACTTGCAAGAGTTATAAATGTTCTTCTCAAACCCATCACTGCAGACATCTCCCCTCGCACACGTGCATGCACATGTGTTATGGGAAGAGGACGTTCAGGCGGGTGTTGTCAGGTGTGGGTGGGGAGGGAAATGACCGGCAAAATTTATTTCAAGTGGGGCAGAGTTGCTGGAGAGTATTGAGTGGTAGGGAGCTTTTGGTTGCTTTTCTGCTGGAGTGTTTTACCAATTGAATTTAATTAGAGCTGCACTCCTGAGCGTACATTACATCTCCTAGGAAGTACTCTGAAGTATATTGGTGTAAAAACCAGAAGGACAAGTAGTCCATGCCTATGTTTATGGCCATCTCAGTCCACCATAATAGGAAATTTATGGAACAGTCTGTGCAAGAAAAAACTGGTGTTCAGAAGTTTAAACTTCCTGCAAATGTACAATGCATGTACGCACGTCAAGACTTTCTTGGGCTCCTAACCCACATCAGCAACTATAATTCAGTTGTTCGTTTCTCCCTATATCGGAGAGTACAAGACATGGAACTGACATTAGCCCAGGAATTCAATTATAATTCAGTAAATCTATGCAGTAACTCTGCCATGCAAAGAAGATTAGTTTGATTTCCTAGCTTTTGCTGAGTTATATTGTTGAACGGCAGACCCAGGTTTTGTTTTGTTGGGGGTGGTATTTCTATCCCCATAAATGTGACCTAGATAAAAGTGCACTGCAACATTTTCATTGTCGCCTTTTTCTTTGGCATTTGTTGTACTGCAAAAGCAAATAGCACATTTCATTAGATCCACCATTTCAGTATTCATTTTATTCTGTCTGTTGGCCCATTTTGAGGCCAACATCTATCAATTCTCCCATTCTTCTATCACAAGACGTGGCATAATTATGAAGACATTGTCATTGGGATTTAATGAGCACAAATCTAGGCTAAATATGTGAACTAAAGTAAAAAGCATATTTTTCCAAGGTTCTGTGTACATGACCCCTTTAGTAAAAATGGATTTGATATATTTATCTATGTAGTGTTAAAAAATTTGTTAACAGTATGTGGGTGCCGCTGACTGTGCAAGCAGTTGTTGCCTGTCCACAGTTGTTGCTTGAATGGAGACTTGCTAGGGCCATTTCATAGGAGCAGTTAAGTGTCGACTACATTTTTTTTTGTCTCTGCAGTCACAAGTAGGCCAGAGCAGATAAGGGCAATAGATTTCCTTCTCTGAAGGACATTATTGAACCAACTGGGTATTTATGAAAATCAATAGTGGTTATTCGATCACCACTAGGCTTGCAATTAAAAAGCTATTCTTTTTCTAAGTTGAATCCATACTATGTCATCTACCATTATGGCATTCAAACCTGTCTCCAGGTCTTTAGCCTGGGCCTCAAGATTCCCACTATGTCAACATCTTCCTCTACTAATTAATTGCTCTCTGATATATTACTTGTTTCAATTATAAGTTCAATTATAATTATAATTTGAATGAGAAGTTTTGTTTGCATCTGTTTTCAATTTGTATCAGGTATGGGTGTCTTGGGAGTAAACCCAGAAGTGGATGTTTTCCCCCTAACTTAGTGTTTTACCATATGGGACTGAATGAATATTTCCATTCCTGAGCAAAAATAGGAAATTGTGCTTGATATAGTTTGTTTTTCCTTGCTTTTATTTAATACTTGTTTAGTTGTGAAGCAAAAACCTGTTTTTGGTAGGTCTTGTTTTTACTGCAGGAAAAGAAAAGTAAATTGGTCGTCTTTTTTCCTGCTTTAAACCAGGAATATATTGAGTTGTTTTTACCTTCTCATCTCAAGTCCATTATTTCACTTTTCTCAAAGATCAGTGAGTTGAGTTCCTCGCAATTTTCTGTTTTTCTGTTTATCTGAACATACAGTAAGGCTGCTCAAGTATTGCATGCTGAAAAGACAAAAATCAATCATTTATGCTCAACTAGAGAGCTCAAGTTTCTGAGGGATAACTCTCTGGTTGTTGTGCCAACATAGTTTTATGGGTGGATATCATCATTTTGCCAGTAGTTTTGAGAAGACAGTATTCTAGTAAACTGTCAAATAATCATGTCACAATTTCCTTGTTTGGAACTTCCCCTAATACAATTGCTTTATTAACTTTTTACCAGCCTTGCAGTTTATGTGCAGAGTTTGCTAACTAACGAAAATCCCTCATTCTTTAGGGGAATTACATGTTAAATGTGCTCATTTTTCAGCTTTAAACGGTTTTAATTTTTATCTAGCTAGCTTACCCATTCTGAGAAAGAGTCATTAGAGTTGAAGCTTTAACACTGTTTCTCACTCAAATGTTGCCAGATCTGCTGAATTTCTCCGGCACTTTTTTGTTTTGTTTCAAATCTCTGGCATCTGTAAAATTTCCTTTTTATCTTATTCATTCATTGGGTGAATTTAAAGTAAAGGTCTCAATGATTCAGGAAAGCATATTTGAAGTGAAGAATGAGCTTTGGCTTGGTGGCAGGGATGGAGAGTAGTGAACAAGTGATTGAAAGTTTCACCCCAAGTATTGTAACACATCAGCTAATTGAGAAGTGGAATGCACTTATTCCACCAGTATCTTCCACCCTATCAGCATCTGAATCCTGTTTTGTAAACCCATAATTTTACTTACAAAAGGAATCACATTAGTGACATCCTTATCTGGTCCCTCTTTGCAGCTGAAATAATGTTAATTTAGCATAATCTGTCAGGATTCCATTGCTAGTAGGCGTGGTAAACACCCTATTGGTGTGGAACAGAGCCATATTGACCAGGAAAGTCAGATTCAAGTAACATTTAGTGGTGAATTAACTGATCTCACTCTGAATCATGGTAATGTTGTTGCAAATTGTCTCAGCGCCTCTAAGAGAAAATCATTTTTATGTTATCAAACCTGATTACTGTCTCATGGCTCATGCTAGAAAAATATGTGGACTGAGGCAAGTAAGACTCGGGATTTATTCTGCTTCCACACACTTTAATAGCTGACTTTGCCTGTAAGCTGCAGTCTGAGTTAAATGGCTGTATAATTACCATATAACTTTTTTGATTTTAGGCATGTCATAATTATAGCATAAGGTACCCAGCATTATCATAATGCAATTTATATTTTAAACTTGAGTATCTTCCTCTTGGAGGAAGAAGACTAGTCCCACAACTGCTTGAGAGAAAGATAATCAGTCCTTCTTCTATAGATTTGACTCTCTTCTCTTTTGAATGACAATTTTTACAAAGTAATTTCTGTTGCGGCAGATTTGAGGGAAAAGGGCTTCATCTGTTTGAAGCTGACTTGATTCTGTTGCAAGGAGCTGTAGATGCTGAGAATAAAGGAGATTTCATCTGTCCCACTACATCACTTTCCTCCAAACAACATCAGTTTCTTATAGCTGATGGATGTGATAGGTAAAAGATAGAAGCTAGTGTTATGTATGTTCTTTGTGTGTGTTACTATTAGATGTAGTGAAGTATCACATTAATCTTTGTACCTAAACCTCAAATCAAGTGAAATGTGCTATATTGATTTATTGTTTAATCTTACAATTAATAAATTTGACTTTATGGTCTTGTATCTCCTGATGGTGTTTATTCTCTTTTTTCTATAAACTGTTTGGATTAATTTCATATAAATGTAATTTCATCTGTCAAAATTTCTATGTATGTAATGTTAATAATCTGAGACATAGTGATGGAATGCTTTCAAGAATTTAGTGTTGAGCATGAGCGAAGCATTTGGCGATGCACTACAATTGCAACTATGTATACCAAGTATAGAACAGGTTGTGTTCATACTCCATGGACCTTTCCATAGCAAATAGTTATCAGAATTTTATTTTTCAATTTCCAAAGAACACTATGTATTCTGACTTATTGTTGCAAAACATTGTAATGTCCTTGAACACTATAAACAAATTAATGTATTAAGCAATGTTTAAACAAAGAAGCAGTCAGTTTTTTAACATGGTAAAACATCTGAACACCCATACTAAACAACTCTGCTCACACTCATTTGTACTTCATAATCACTTTTGGTGTTATTTTCAGTATGACTTGTGACACTTTTTCTGTCTCTACAGTTAACGGGGCATGAAAGGAGAGTACTGGAAACCAGAGCAGATATAGTAGAGTTGGTGAGAATTATCTTTTAAAACTTGATGTTACACTTGGTTCCTGCATGTCTATGCTGCCTTCCATGACTTAGGGCTAGAATTGAAAGGAAAGACTTGCATTTGTATTGCAGTTTTCTTTCACGACCTTGGATGGTTTAAAGCACCTAATAGCTAAGTGCAGCACTTTTGAAGCATGGGGAGACTGGAAATATGGCAACCAATTTGCTCAAACTTCTCTCATTAGCCATGATCAAATTGTTTGTGATCTTGATTGAGAGAAAGATACTGGTCAGGACACCAGGAAGGGAAAAAACCCTGCCTTTGTGGTATTGCTGTGGAATTTTTTACATTCTACTTGAGATGGCAGGTTGTCCTTTGTCTAATCTTTCAGCCAAAGATGGTGCCTCTGATTGTTCAGTGCTTCCTCAATTAAGCATTGAAGTGCCAGCCTTGATTGCTCTGTTCAAATGCTTGAACTTGAGAGTGGGACTTGAACTTGAGAACTTAGAAGCTGACACAGTTGTTGAGCTCCTGATCAAGTTCATAATGGTCTTTGACATTATGTATATCTGTTGGTGTCCTTAATTTTTATGTAAACTGCCTAACGTCACTGCCAGAGTTTTGATGTGGTTCCTACCTAACTTGCAGCATTCACAGCAAAACCGAGCAGTGACTCAAATAAACCGAAAGATAGACACTGAAGTAGCAGGACTGAAAACTCTGCTAGAATCACACAAACTTGACACGATTAAATATTTAGCAGGTAAGAAAACTGTTTATTACATTGGTAACAATTAGTCTATAAATTGTAAATTCTGATATGTACTTGTACATTTGGATGAGGGGAATGTGGGGTAGTGTGATCAGGTAAACGTTAGTCACAACAGTTATAGCATATCTGCTGCTGAAATTAAGTAGGATACAAATCAAGAATGAGTGAAAGAAAGGTGATTTTTGTAATAGTTGCTTGTTAATTTAAAAAAATTTAATTTCACGATTATTCATGGGTGTGGACATTGCAGGCTTGGCCAGCATTTATTGCCTGCCTGTGATTGCTCTGAAGGCAGTGTTGGTGAGCTGCTACCTTGAACCACACTAGTCCTTGGGCTGAAGGAATAAACAGTGCTGTTAGGAAGGGAGTTCCAGAACTTTGACTGTGCAACATTGAAGGAATGGTGATAAGTTCCATGCCAGAATGGTGTGTTTAACTTGGAGGGGAATGTTAGTCTAGGTGGTTTTCTAATCCACCTGCATCACCTCTTCTGGTCATAGAGGCCATAGGTTTGGAATATATTTTAAGGAACCTTTGAGTTACTGCAATGCATCTCGCTGATAGTACAATGTGATAAGCAGGCAAAGGATTATTTTCAGATGTACTTATTAACTTGTTTGTAATCTCCAGGCATGTTAATTTTTAACAGTATCAATATTGTAGTCATCAAATTTTCTGATATCTTTAACATCTGTGACACGTTGCTTAAAGAACTTTCACGTTGCAGCTTGTTTTGTTCAAATCGTACTAGTGTGCTACATGTCTGTAATTTCTCCTGTTTGTTGCCAAAATCAACTCCTTCATTCCAGTGGCAGAATCAGAGGCACTGATTTTCATGGGCCTCTAATTCATTTGAGTATGGAATCAATTTTAGCAAAGCAAATCTGTGTACCCAGCATGTGGAGGATGCTCCCTGATCTGAATGAATTAATTACAATTTAAATTGATTTTAATTTTAAGAACTACCAAGCTATTCAAATCGTGTGTATTTAATAATCTGCTATTGATCTTTATCTTGATGAATCTTTCCTTGTAGGTTCAGTTTTCACGTGTCTTACCATAGTACTTGGATTTTATCGTCTCTGGGTATGAAATTTAATCCCTCACTGGAATTTAGTATTCAGCTTCGTTATCAGGAAAAGGAGCCGTAATGATTTAAAAGAAATCAGACTCTCAATCATTTGAAAAGGTTTGGATGCCTTAAAGAATCAAGTCTTTTATGTATTAATTTACTTCAAAAAGAAGTGTAAATCTATTGAGTGTTTTAATGTAAGATTGTATCAAATCTGAATCTTGTTACCAAATTTGGTGTTAATAAAATGTATATCACTACTGGTAATGTACATTTTAAGGATTGCATCTATGAATTTTATACTCGTTTAAAACTTTTTTGTATTTTTTAACCACACATTTACTTTCCTCAATTAAATTTTTCTAATTCTGTTGAGCAACTACAGTTGAGTTATCAGTGTTGATAATTGTGCAGTATTGAGTAAGTTCAAATTCCTGTTTGTAAGGAATGTCTTCAGCTTCAAGGATACATGCTTTAAACATAAAATGCTTCTAGAAGCTGGTCAGCAATTATAGCTCAAGTGAAGAGAAAAGTTTGGATTATTTTCACATCTCCAGCGGGAAAGAAAGCAAGAATTGAAAAGCTGCATTTTTACATTTGTTTATATTGTTTCCAATTAATTTAGTATAGATCATGACCATTCAGGCATGATTTGGTGATAAACTGTCATTTGCTAATGCTGGGATTAATCTCATGTCAAAAGCATTTAAGGAATGATCTGTTGGTTCCCAGTGGTTCTGGAAAATTGCACCAGTGAATTGTGTGAAATTTCAACCAATTTAGTGTCACATCTTGGTGTCCATGATTTCATAGTATGAAACTGCAGAACCAGATTCTAAGAAAAGGTGTAGTTCATGTATAAAAGGACAAGAAAAGTCCTATGATTAATGATTCTAATATACTTTTAACTTCCCTTTCAACTTGCCCTGAAGGGCATTTTTCTACCTGCAGACCCATGCAAGTACTGGTTCTATAACCTTGCCTGGATTGATCTTTGACTGTTAAATACCCTTTGAATTAGGCTTAACTAAACAATTTAATTTAGCTTTACTAATTTAGCAGAAGAATCTCTTGCCCTTCTAGATATTAAATCTACAAATATAATTGTATGAGCTATTGGAAATGTATTAGCCTTTTGTTATGTCTTACCTTGCAATAAATTGTGGCAGTGAAATAGCTATCAGAGTTTAAGCCTCCAGATGTTTTGGTCTGTATCCCAGGCTTGTGTTGGTTAGTAAATTTGAGCCTGGACAGAAGTAAAGATGGTAAATTTACTTCTGCCACTGCAAAATAACAAACAATGAGAACTGGATATGATTTTCAACTTTAAAAAAAAAATCAAGAATTGCAGATACTGGAAATCAAATGAAAACCGAAATTGCTGGGAAAGAAAACTCAGCAGATCTGGCAGCATCTGTGGAGACAAATCTGTTAGTATTTTGGATCAGGAAACTCTAACTGCTATCCAATGACTCCTGCTGGAAAATATGTGCATGAGGACTGGGTTTGGTGTGGCAGTAATGTCTTCCATGGCAACCAACCAATCAATATCCACATCTACGTTCTTAGATGCAGAAAATTCACATGGATGTAGTACAAGAAGCCCTCTGATGCCTGAGGAGTTTTCCTAGTGGAATTGATTCCTTTAGGAAAAACAAACATTTACCAAAAAAGTTTGAATTTTCATGAGGCAATGTCAACTTTGAACCTCTGTTTTTCGATGTAATGGCAATGGTTGCAGTTTCTCCTGTTGAAATTTAAAAGTTACTTCTTATCTTGCATGTAGCTGTTTTTTCCTGCCTTAAAGCCTTTTAAAAATTCCCTGTGTATAATGTTAAAAGTTTGAGTATCTGTTTCTGCGTTCTACCTTGGACTTTTTCACATAAATGTAGTATGTATATAAGTAATCAATAAAAAGAATGAAATGCATTTTAACAGAGCATAATAATAGATACAAGTCAATATTATTATGAGGTGGAGGATTCTGTTTTCATTTTATAGTGAAGGCTGGGTAGACAGTTTTAATGTGACTAATTGAGTTTGAGTTTGATCTTTTCCATAGGAAAGAGCTAATAAAGTTAACTTGGGCAATAAAATGTCAAATAAATAGTCTGTGGCAGTGACCACTTCAATGTTTGACCAATGCAAGACCTCTGTTTGTTCTAGACGTTATATTGCATTGATGTGAAATCGTTTGATTTGTCAAGATCATCAGCAACAGCTTGAATTTTTTACAATGTTTCAACATAACATTCAAGTTCGTTTTATCTGGTGAAAGATATGGCAAGAAGACAAAAGTTTGCTTCTTCAATCTTAACATATTACTTGTGAGATCTTATTTGCAAGAGGGAGCTGTAAACTGCTGCAATGTTTGATATCCATATTAGTGGGTGTTGGGACCTCAGTAGGATCCCAATCTCTGAGGGAACAATGGCTACAGCAGAGCTCCACCCTTGCCATCTCCTTTCTTCTCCCCCAAACTCCAACTTCTCAATGGTTTTCAAGTTCCAAAATGGGATCACAGTGAGGGAAAAGTTTTCAGAAATACAGCTCTACCTTGCAGTGATTCACAGACCTACAATAGTTTCCTGCATGAGCCTTCACCAAACTTGTATCTAATGCAAAAAATCTTGTAAAGTAGACAAAATAAATTACATTACATCTATTAAATTATCAACCACATGTTTGATAGTAATTAAAGAAGAGTAGGTGAAAAAAAATTTCCAAAGTAATTGTGGCTTGATCAGTTCACTGCTTGGTTTGAAATTTATAATTTTTAAACTTTGTTCATGTGTATCATTTTGCTCTAAATTGTCACTTCACTTCTGGTTTCTTCAGTAAAGACCTCTTCTTCAGCTATTTTTTTTTTGTTACTTCAGGAAAAGCCTAAGAACCTTTCCTTGGAGCCATCTCTTTTCCATCTGTATTCTACCTCCAGCTATTCCATGTTCCATCCAATGACACCCAACTCCATCTCTCCTTCTCTTCACATTATTACTCCTACTGCATGTGTTATAAGACTACTTATCTGCACTTAGTCTCAGATGAGCCACAGTATCCTCCAGCTCTGTGTTTGAGAGAAAATCTGGTGACTTCAGGTTTTGTTGCAAGCCCAAACTTAATCCAGTCACTCTACCACTCAGTCATAGAATCGTACTGCCCAGAAACAAACCCTTTTGGTCCCAATCTGACTTAGTCCCATTTGACAGCATTTGGACCATATCCCTCTAAATCTTTCCTCTTCATACACCCATTCAGATGCCTTTTAAATGTTGGCACCGTACCTGCCTCCATCTCTTCCTCTGGCAGCTTATTCCATACACACACTATCTTCTGCATGAAAAAGTTGCCCCTCAGGTCCTTTTTAAGTCTTTCCACCCTCACTTTAAACTTCAACCCTCTAGTTTTGGACTCCCCTACCATAGGAAAAATACTTTAGCTTACACTATGTCCATGACCCTCATGATTTTAGAAATCTCTATAAGGTTACCCCTCAGTCTCTGATCCTCCAGGGAAAATAGCCCCGGCTTATTAAGCCTCACGGTATAACTCAGACCTTCCAGTCCAGGCAACACCCTTGTAAATCTTTTCTGCACCATATCAAGTTTAGCAACATCCTTCCCTTAGAGTGACCAGATTTACATTGTTATTCTAAAAGTGGCCTCACCAATATCCTGTACAGCCGCAATATGACATTCCAATTCCTACATTGTGTTCTGACCAATCAAGGCAAGTGTGCCAAATGCTGCCTTCACCGCCCTGTCTACTTGTGACTCCACTTTCAAGGAACTGTGCACCTGCACCCTAGGTCTCCTTGTTTAGCAACACTCCCCAAGATCCTACTGTATAAGTCCTGGCCTGGTTTGCCTTACCAAAATGCAACACCTCATATATTTAAACTAAACTCCATTGGCCCATATGATCAAGGTCATATTGTACTTTGAGATAATCCTCACTGTCCACTACACCATCTATTTTGGTGTCATCTGCTAACTTATTAACCCTACCTCCTATATTCACATCCAAATCATTAATATAATCGGGCGGCATGGTGGCTCAGTGGTTAGCATTGCTGCCTCACAGCGCCAGGGACCCAGGTTCGATTCCACCATCAGGCGACTCTCTGTGTGGGTTTCCTCCAGGTGCTCCCACAGTCCAAAGATGTGCAGGTTAGGTGGACTGGCCATGCTAAATTGCCCGTAGTGTTCAGGGATGTGTAGATTAGGGGGATAGGTCTGGTGGGATGCTCTTTGTGTCGGTGAGGACTTGTAGGGCCAAAGGGCCTGTTTCCACAATGTAGGGATTCTATTCTATTCATAAATGACAAAAAGTAGTGGACCCAGCACTTGATGGACGGATCTATTATATTGGAGTAAGATGTATAAGCAGGAGTAAGCCATTCCTTGAGATCATGGCTGATCTGATGATCCATGATTCCAATTTTCTCTATCTTCCCCCAATCCTTGATTCCCTACTGATTTAAAAATCTTTATCTCAGCTTTCAATGTAGACTTAAGGACCCAGCCACAACACTAAATAATTCCATGGATTTGTTACCGTTTGAGAGAAGAAATTCTTCATCTGTCTTAACTGGATGACCACTTTTCTGCAATTATATCCTTTGGTCCCAGATTCTCCCACAAGGGAAAACGAGCTCTCAGCATCTACCTTGTCAAGGCCCTTCAATCTGATGTTTCAATGAGGTTGCCTTGCATACTTCTAAGATCCAGTGAGTACAGTTGCAATATACTCCACTTTTGATCGTAAAAAATCTTTCCACACTTGGGATGAACCTCGTACACGTTCTCTGGATTGCTTCCAATGCCAAGTATATCTTGGCTTAGGTGAGCGGATCAAAACTGTTCGTGGTATTTTGTGTGGTCAAATATGTGACTTTTATAGCTTTAGCAGGGCCTTCCTATTGTATACTATTCCCTGTAAGATAATACCCCAAATTGCTTGTGCCTTCCCTATTACCTGCTGAACTTGTATGCTAGCAGTCGTGTTGTTTGCTCATGAATGCACAAATGTTCAGCTTCATTTGGGACTCATCAGAAACTGAAGCAGTCCACATTCAAACGTAACAACGTCTGGGAAATAATCCAGGCTTGGTCTGA